AATGAATAAAGAAAATGTGATATGTATAAGTACTGACATTTCAATCAACCATAAAGAACAATAAAATCATATTATTTACCTATAAATGAGTAGAACTGGATAACATCATGCTAAGCAAAATAAGCCAGAATTAGAAAGTCAAAGAGAGCTTTATATAGAGAAGCTAGAATGAAATAAGGAATTTAAAAAGAAGATGACACCATATAATAAAAAGAAGAAGAGTGAAAGAGAAAGAGAATAAAGGGGGAAGTAGAAGAGACTGGAAAGGGGAGAAATTATGGAAAGAATTTTGCCAAATTATGTTATATACATGTAGGAATGTATCACAGTGAATTTCACTTTTATGGTTACCTTAAAAAGCACCAATTTAAAAAAAATAAATAAATTGAAGACAAGAATGATAAGGAGAAAACAGGGAAGTACTTGAGATTGAAATGGAGATATGTTAAAATGAACCTCATTGGTACATATAAGAATAATTCACTAAAAAATATTTTAAGTTGGTGTCATAAGTTAACATAAAAAATAACTAATGTTACTTTGTGACTATGATATCTTTTTATTTTAATTAGGTATATACGACAGCAAAATGCATTTTGGTTCATTGTACACAATTGCAGCACTTTTCATTTCTCTGTCTGTACACAATGTAGCATCACACCCTGTGTGCAGTCTTACAAGTATCTAGGGTAACGATGTCCATCTCATTCCACCATCTTTCCTGCCCCCATGAATCCTCCCCACTCTCCCTCCCCTTTGCTCAATCAAAGTTCCTCCATTTTTCCCATGCCTCTCCCCTGCCTGTTTTGGATCAGCATCCACATATCACAAAGAACATTTGGCCTTTGTTTTTTGTTTTTGTTTTTGTTTTTTGGCATTGGCTTACTTCAATTAGCATGATGTTCTCCAACTCCACCCATTTACCTGCAAATGCCATGATCTTATTATATTTTAATGCTGAATAGTATTCCACTGTGTGTGTGTATGTGTATATATATATATCACAGTTTCTTTATCCATCATCTATTGAAGGGAATCTAGGTTGCTTCCACAGTTTAGCTACTATAAACATTGATGTGGCTGCATCACTATAGTATGCTAATTTTATGTCTTTTGGGTATAGACAGAAAAGTGGGACAGCTGGGTCAAATGGTGGGTCCATTCCAAGTTTTCTAAGGATTCTCCATGCTGATTTCCAGATTGGTTGCACCAATTTGCAGTCCTATCAGCAACATATCAGAATGCCTTTTCCCCAACACCCTCACTAACATTTATTGTTGTCTGTATTCTTGGTAACTGTCATTCTGACTGGAATGAGATGAAGTCTTGGAGTAGTTATCTTGATTAATCATAAGAATTTTCCAAATTGTTTTTTCAATTTAATTTATTAGATATTCAAAATTTTTTAACAACTTCAATTCTGAGCACAATAATTGAAAGTGATGACATTACTCAAATGCAAGACTGTGAACTGATTTTTTTTTTACTGGGTATTGAACTCAGGGGACTCCACCACTGGGCCACATCCCCAGCCCTATTTTGTATTTTATTCAGAGGTAGGGTGTCACTGAGTTGCTTGGCACCTTGCCTTTACTGAGGCTGGCTTTGAACTCAAAATCCCCCTGCCTCCGCCTCTTGAGCTACTGGGATTACAGGCATGAGCCACCACACCTGGCTATGAACAAAATTTTTGATAATTTCTAATTGGGATAAGTGATGCAACTCATATGGAAGCTCTTAAAATATGCTAGAACAAATATAGCTTAGTTAGAAATATAAATTTTATTAAATCAAGGTTTGACATTTCTAGGGAATCAATTTTTCTAACATGAATTATCTTTGTGTACAACTCAATTTCCTGTGTCTGAATTTAATTTTAAATTTAAATTAATATATCAAAATTTTTATGTTTCCACAGATGTTTTCTATAACCAGTGGATATCTGATAACTTGGAAGAGGTTCCACAATTTGTATATAATTCAGAATGCTTTTTCATGCATCCTAATCCTGTATTTTAAATTAATTTTAAAATTATCATTCTTAGGAAAATTTAGTTCATTCAAAAGTTCACATGAAAATGGCTTTCTTCTCCATCAGGCTACTATCTTTACATATAATTCCTATATCTAATCAGGAAAACAATCCCATTCACAATTGTCTCAACAAAAATAAAATACCTAGAAATAAATTTACCCAAAGAGGTGAGAGAACTGTATCATAAAAACTATAGAACACTGAAGAAAGAAATTGAACAAGACACTAACAATGAAAAGAACACCATGTTCATGGATATGCAAAAATAATACTGTCAGAAAGATGATACTACCAAGCACATTATACAGATTCAATGCAATGCCTGTTAAATACAAATTCATGGAATTTGAAGAAATAAAAATGTCCTAAAATTCATTTGGAAGGGTAAGACATCCACAGTAGCCAAAGCGTTTCTAAAGGGGCAGGGGGAGCAATACTGGAAGCATGACAATACCTGACTTGAAGTTATACTACAGAGCCATAGTAACAAAAACTGCATGGTACTGGCATAAAAACAGACACATAGACCAATGGAAAAAACTAGAAGATACAGAAAAAAAAGCCCACATGGAGAAAGTCATCTGATCCTTGAGAGAGGCACCGAAAAGGTAGACTTTTTAACAAATGGTGCTGGGAAAACTGGATATCCATATGTAGAAGAATAAGACTAGATTCCTATCTCTCTCCCTGCCCACCCCCAAAACAAATCCTCACAATGGCTCAAATCAGGAATTAAACCAGAAAATATGCAATATATATATATATATATATATATATATATATATATATATATATACACACACACACACACACACACACACACACTGAAGTTTTAGTCAGCCATAAAGGAAATTATGAAATTATGTCATAATTATGAGATTATGTCACTTACAGGAAAATTGATGGAAGTGGAGAACATTAGGTTAAGTGAAATTAGCCAAATTCAGAAAGTCAAGGGTCATATGTTTTCTCTCATCTGTGGAAGCCACAGATGAAAAGGAAGAGAAAGGCTGGGGTGGGGATCTCATGAAAACCAAAGGGACATCAGTAGAAGAAAGGGACCAGAGGAAGGGAGGAGGAAAGTGAAAGAAAAATACTAGGGAATGATAATGGCCAAATTATATTTTTATATTGTGTGCATGAATAAATATGTAATAATAAATCCACTGCATATATATATATAATTATAATGCACCAATGAAAAATGGAAAGAATTTAAAAAGAGATACCACAATAAAATTTAAAATTCAATTATGCTATGCAAATAATAGTACAACAGCATGAATAGGAATAGATTCTGAAAAGTCATTCCTTAATACTACCACTCCATCAATTGCTTTTTTCTTTGTGTTTCCTCACAGACCTTTCAAAGGAAGATCTTACTTTTACCTGATACATTCTTGACAGAGTTATGTGATCGCAGCACATGAAACCTTCAGTATATGAGCATTTTTCAATAAAAGTGAGGATTTGATATGTTTTAATCTAATGTTTTCAGCTTTAATTCAACACTTAGTAATAATATTGTCCTTCTTGTTAGGTAGACTTCATATTTGCTATGTTAATGACTGTCTAATATGCTATCAAATGACAGATTATTTACTCATGAAAATATAATAATAGGCATTCCTATTTCTAAGCCTGTGCATAATAACTCTGCTCTATGGCATCAATTTTCAAAACCAGGTGTATAAATTCAAAGGATTCTAAAATGCTTTATTGCAATGTCCACACATATGCATTCATTTTGTAAAAATTTACTAGCAACACTGATTGCCATCCACAGACATCAGGAATCCTTAGAATACACCTGCTCTGGGAATAGGCTAGACCAACTGCTCAGCTCATAGGCTGCCCACTGTGTTCTTCAACCGCAAGTCACATGTATCCTTTTCCTGAAGCCCCAGGTGTCTCCTCTTCTCATGCACATGCTCCATTTTCATATCAGATTCATTTACAAAACATAAGTTGAAACACAAAATTATTAAGAATTTCAAGATAGCAACAGCACAATATTATGTCAAGCTCCAGACCCTTCCTGAGTGCCAGGCCCTGAGAACTGTCTGGGTCTCATTCCTGGAAAGCTGGTCCTGCTCCAAGCTTCACTGGAGTTGCCCAGCTGTCCTTGTGTTAATCTCATGGACTCACCCCTTCCTAGGCAATTCTGCACATTGACACAAAGAACTGGCAATGCTGAGAACCTATTTACATTGCAAGTAATACACATGCAGGTTTAAACTTGGGGGTTGGTAGTAAGAATTCTTGATAGGTGGCCAAAGAAAATAAAGATTGCTTTTGAGGTAATGCTGGAAGATTTCTTCTCTCTTTCCCAGACCCTATATGTTGTTAGAAAATCATGAGTAACAGATTCATTCAGAATGCAAGGAAGAGCAGAGGATTTTCATCAACAAACAAAAGGAAAGTTTAATGAGATTTACTTTAAAGGGTGCTATAGGGAAATAATTAAATGGATATTTTCATCAGTGATGTATGTGAACACATTGTAGAACTCTATCCATAGACATCTTTTGCATTTGGGAGTCTTCTGTACTGGCTCTCTCAAAACACAAACTTTAATACCAGATTTCCTGAGCAGGAATCCCACCCAAGCTTCACTAGCTTGAACCATAAAGTGAGCTCAAGCAAGTTACTTTTCTGCTATAATCCTGACACTCAAAAATAAGAAGGAATTTTTCATTATATTTTCAGAGTTTCCTGGGGTGAGAAATTCTGAATACAAACATTACATATGTACAAGATAACTAATATCACATTGAATTACCCTTATGTTGGAAATTGAACCATCTGCATTCTAGTTGGAACACTGGGATATCTCTTTTCTATTTGTTAACATGCATACATTTTTCAAGCATTTTTCATCACAGTTATTTAGATGTCATTTACAAGCTCAGCCAGGGGATCAGTTTTAACAGTGCTTGTGGCCCTGACATCCTTATCAGTTGCTTCAATACTTCCTTATTAGAAATTTTTCCTGCAAAGGATTTCTGTGTGGAAAAGGGTCCAACCCAACTTGGATGACAGTGCTGAGGAGTCTCCTGTTAGCAGAGGTGACAGTGTTATGACAGGAATCAGGACACCCATAGCTGTGCAGAGGCTGCTGTGAAAGTCCTCCCTGAGAGAAGAGGCTGTGGCTGCAGGTGCAGCTGAAGTTTGGGGACAGGCTGCAGGTGCCCTGGGAGCACTGTGCCTCTGCTGCACAGAGGTAGGTGCCTGAGTCTTCCAGCTGAGAAGTCGAAATGATCAGGGTGCTGTAGCGCTCCTTAGAATTCATGGTTGCCTTTAACCTTCCCTCCTGCTTTGTCCCCGGAGTCAGGAAAAACAGACTCCTGAGGCTGCCCCCAGGATTCTGTCGGAACCACTGCACACTGGTCATGGTGGTGGAAAAATTGCACCTCAGAGTGGAGCTGGTTCCCTCCTGGAGCCTCAGGGCTGAAGGACTCTGCTCCACCTGCTGCCCTCTCACCCCTGCTTGGAAGAGAAAAGCAAACACAGATGATGTCACTGGGGAATCCATGACCAACTTACACACCTGTAGAATATCCCAGGACACACCCTGAGGATGGAGCACAGGGAGGGGGCTTGGTGCCAGCTCTCCCTGCCCTCCCTCACACTGTCAGCCCTACAGCACCCCATCCCCATCTGGGAGGAACCCGACTCACAGCAAAGCTGCACCCACAGAAGCCCCAGCAGAGCCCCCAGTCCCCTCTGCATGGCTGCTGGCCTGGCTGCTGGGTCTTCTTCCTGCTTTGCAGGTGTCAGGTCTTGGGCCAGACAAGCTTGTTCTTCCAGGCAACAGGTTCCACCTGACTCCCTGAGCACCAGTCACAGCTGAGCTCTGTCCTGCCCCCTAACAGGGAGCTCCACCCCCAGTGGCCCAGAGAGACATCAGTGCAGTGGGTAGGGGGCCATGTTTCCAATGAATGAAGATAAAAGTGCTTGATTTTGTTTGGTTTTTTATTTGTCTTCCTCATACAGCTGATGTAAGGGAAGTTTGTGGGAATACATGAGGAAGGACAATGACACTTTAGGGAGCAACCTATGTCTCAATTGGATTAGGAAGAACCTTTAAGAATCACAGGAAAAGTGAGCCTTTTTCTCAAATTATGTGTTTAATAGAAATTTTGAGAAACCAATTATATGAAAATTCTGATCAAGGAAACTGTTTGATAGCATGCGATGAGCATTAAGAAATTAAAACCAGGGCTGGGGATGTGGCTCAAGCGGTAGCGTGCTCGCCTGGCATGCGTGCGGCCCGGGTTCAATCCTCAGCACCACATACAAACAAAGATGTTGTGTCCGCTGAAAACTAAAAAATAAATATTAAAAAAAAAGAAATTGAAACCATTTCTTGAAATACGGATCTCTGTCTGCATCAAAAATGTTTCCAACAAGAGTTTCATTGATTTAAAGGAAAAGAGGACATGCACATGATGTCCACCACGTTTTAGTCTTTACCTCTCCCACCCTTCTGCTGTCCAGTCCTTTCCCCCACACCCTGCAGGCCACACATTGCTGCCCAAATCAATATGCCCTCTCCATTTCTTCTTCTAGTTTTGTTCTTCATTTTTCATCTTTGCTTCTCACTCATTTATTCTTGTTCCTTCTAGTCTCAAAAAAGGTTTACAAAAGGATTGTCTATCAAGAATATTGGAATAATTTATTTGTCAGTGTATTTCAAGAATTTTTGTAATAAAACAAAAAAACTGAAACCATGTTCTGGAGATATTTTCTAACAGACCTCCATCCTCATATGCCAAGTTAAATTCCAAATCCCTGAACTGTGCTCAGAAAATCATCCTCCCAGTGGATTTACAGAGAACAGATCCAATAAATACAGATACTGTCTCCAGCTTTCTGAGATTTTATGTAGAATGAAAGAGCTGAAGACCTGAGATGAACTTGCACAAGCACAACTGGCCCCCTAGCTGTCTGTGATCTGACTGGCTCATGTTCTCTGGTCTCACCTGCTGGGAATCCGCAGGAGTCTTCCTCCTGCAGCCTGGAGCGCCCCCTAGTGGAACGATTACATTAATGTAGGTCACTTAGGACCAACCAAGTCCTCAGCAGTCACTGGACCCAGCCCCACACACTGCATGGTCCCTGATGTAGGAAATGCAGATGGCCAGAAAACAAATTAACAGCCTAGAGTCAGTGGGGATAAAAATTAACCACCTTCACGGGAGAAGAAGTAGCTCAGTGGTAGAGCAAATGGTATAAGGCTTTGGGTTCAAACCCCAGCAAAAAAAGAAAAGAGAAGAAAACTTTTGAAATGCCATTTTATAGATACTGCATTTTAAATAAGTTAGCAGTTATCCTGCACTATTCATTATATTTCTCCAATGTAGTTCAAAATAAATCCATAAACATCCATTCAAGATATACTGGGGGTGAATAAAAAGAATATTCAAAGGAGAGGAGACACTCGTTTATAGTCTATTGAAAAAGACAAAAGTACACATATCTGTAATATAATCAAAGTGTGTGATCCTGAGAGGAGTGTACACTGAAACTATGATCCCAGAGGCAGGAGAGGACCTGTGCATGGGATCATCACAGGTCTGAAGAAGGTGAACATTTTCTCCTCCCTCCCCTGCCTTGTTATGAGAAGGATAGGCAAGACTATAGATAACCCTTTATGATGGATTTAATGACTTCTTATTGGCTTTAACATAATAAAAATCATGAATATAGGAATTATTGAAAATCATAAAACACCACATATGGACCAAAGTCCCCTCTAACTTCCCCTACAATCCTGGCCCTTTCATCACTCATCACCCCAACTCTCCCTTCATCTTTCAATCTGCAGGTCAAGCTCCCAGCCATTTTACTGTCAATTTAAAATCATGTACCAAATATGTGAAACAACAGGCAACATGTAGTATTTCATTAATAGTTTTTTGCTTAATACAATATGATACATCTTGTGCATAACTTTCTGTAACTTGCTTTATGAACTGAATAATAGATACATTAATTTAGCACAGATAGGTTCTGCTGCTACCTTGCATCACATTATGGCTTGTCTAGTTTGCAAAACCCTTTCTCTGTTGATGAACACTCAAGTTGTTGCTGATTATTTGCTATGAAATATAACACATCAGTAAACTCTGCAAGGCATTCCTCTTTATTCATATGTGGCCATTTTTCGCTAGAGACAGGACATGGAGTAATAAAATGGTAAGTCCATGTGGCCAGCAGGTGAAAAGTATCAGGAAGGGGGAAGTCCAGACACAATGGCTTTTATGAGGAAGAGAGTGAATTCATGTTCTGATTATCATATGGATGGCTTTTGTTTTATTGCTTTTCTTATTTGTGCATTGGAGCTGTAGTTTCTCAGCACATTTGAGAAACTCTGAAATGACTATCCTACACATAGCTGGTGTGTGGGTTCCACCAGCCAGCCCCTGAGATGGTTCTGAAGATAGTAAATCAGCTAGGAAAGAAGTAGAATATGCAAGGAGAAAATGCAATAGAATAACACTGTGGAAACAAAAATAATAATAATATAGGGCATAGAAAAAATATAGTGTTTATGTGATGACATACATGTGCATATATAATTTAAGAGTAATTATCATAAAACATAAGAACAGGAATATTCTCTGCACTTTCTAAAATGTTGAAAAATGAAAAATTTATTAATGGATCAGAAAATAGACTTTGAAAAAGGAAAGGAAAAACCAAGAGTATACCAGGCAACTCAACCCATCAATAATCAAAACATACATAAAAAGAGATTATCTGATTGAATCAAAACTAAAAATTTTTTCCATACTGCTTGTGAAAATGTGAAACAACCAAGAAAGCAAAACATCTAGAATGGAATTCTTCCTGGTGCCTCTGTGTGTGAGGACTGAAGCTATGTTCCGCATTCACATCCACTAAACCCCCCACACCCACCAGAGAGGTATATCCCATGAGCAGGCCCATTCTGCTGGTGGAGGAGAAACGCAAGAGGAGAAGAGCAAGTTACTCAGCTACATCATTACTTCCTGCACAGGTGCCATCTGTGACTACACAGGGAAAAAGACTAAGGTTAAAAAGTTAGTATTCAGACAGAAAATAGAATTGGGAAAGAAAAGAAAATAGGCAGGAACAAACTACAAAGAATAATTGAAGACAGCTGCAGAAAACAAGGAAATTAAAAATGAGAAAATTTTCTGGAGCCTAGTGGCTCCAGAAACTGAGGCAAGAGGATCTCAAGTTCAAAGCCAGCCTCAGCAACAGTGAGGCGCTAAGCAACTCAGCAACTCAGTGAGACCCTGTCTATAAATAAAATATAAAATAGGGCTGAGGATGTAGCTCAGTGGTTGAGTGCCCCTGAGTTTAATCCTCAGTACCCACCCCCAAAAAATGAGAAAATTTCATACCTTGAGATAGCAGAGGAGAAAGAAGACACATCCAAATAACAACTTTCAAATTTTTATCACTGATCTCTATAATTCCAATATTTTATAATTTGGAATGTTTTAGGAATTATTCATCATTGTATGTTCCTAGTTCCTCTAGAAACACACTTAGGAGAAGACAGGGACGCCTCCTCATCAAAATTATATCTGATCATTGTGTATATCCATAGAATGTTGGATTAGGGAGACCTCAACAGGTGCTTGGAGAGTTATTATGAACTCAGTTGTGTTCCACCCAAAATTTGTATGTCGAAGCCCTGTCCTGAGAATCATAGAATGTGATGGTATTTAAAGACAGCATCTTTAAAGAAGTAATTAAGGTAAATGAAGGTGGGCTCCACATCAAAATGACTGATGTTCTTAGCAGAAGAGGACTTTTGGGCACAGACTTGCACATCATCAGTGGAAGACTGCATGATGACTCAGTGAGAAGTGTCACCTCACACCAAGGAGAGAGGCCTCAGGAGAACTAATCCTGCTGACACATTGACCTTGGTCTTCCAGCCTCCAGAACTGAGAGCGATAAATCTCTCCTGCTTGAAACAGAGTCTGTGGCTATTTGTTATGGCAACCCTAGAAAATTAATCAAAGAGTAAAATTTCAATATCCTATTATATGGAGCAGATCACAAATACAGTTTGTAATCCAAAGTATATATGCAAACTATCTCAACATTTTAACATCCTACTTACAGGCCCATGTATTAGTGCACTCACTTTTTTTCTAAATAAAAGGGCTTCCATACCTTTGATATCTCCATAAAAATTATATCTGGAGCCCTAATTATCCTAACAACTGTGGAGGAGGTTTAGGGAAATGAGAGTATTCCACATGATAGTATAATGGGAGGTTTATGTCATTATGCATTTGTCCAAACCCAGATGATAAAAGGTGACCCATAAATAACTGTGGACATTGGTATGATGTGGGAGTGTAGTTCACTGCTGTATCAAGTGTACCACTCTTGGGGAGGCTGGGGCAAGACCATGAAAAGCAAGGGAATTTGTGAGACAGCTCTGTAACCTCCTTTCAATTTTGTCATCACCTAAAACTACTCGAAAAAATAAGACTTTAAAAAAATAGAAGAGGTTGTGTAAATATATGATGGGTGGACAAATGTGGGTGTGAAGACCAGAGACAAAAGCATTAAAAACAGGCAGAGATACAAATGGAAACTATGCAGAAAATATAAATGACTTAAAATGAAACTCCATCTGATTCATAATTAAATTAATTTTATACCACAGAAAAATGAAAGTCTGACAAGAAAAGTCAAAAAGTGTGGTAATGCACAAGATTTATGGAAAATAGATATTCTGTTTAATCACCAAGTACACTGTCA